TATATTTTACTCGTATTTTGCTATTAATTCATGTACTTTTTTTAGTATTTTTTATTTTTACACTTTTATTTTTTATTATTTTAGATCCCTCCATGAATAAAATATAAGGACCTTAAAGGGGTTTAAAATAATTAAAAATAAAAATACAGAAATCAAGAACATTATAAAAAGGTACAAAAATTAATAGCAAAATATAAATTAAATATATGGATGTAAAGTGTTTTTTAGGAGTAAATTGAATATAAGAGATAAGTTTAGTTAGTGAAAAGATTGATAATAACTTTAGTGCTAATCTTTGCGGGCTGATAAAATGGTGGAGAAGAAAGAATGATAAAGGGTTTACTATACCAAGATTTAAATGTAAATTGACAACAAAGTTTTTTGTATTGAAATTTATATGATTGTTTTGATGTTTATATTAACTATATGACAAGTTTAGTTGAGTATTTATAAAATATTAATATAGTTAATTACTAAGTATGAGTTAACGTACTACTAGCCAATACAAATTAAATATTCACATGTTATGCAATGCACGAGTGCCACATGACTGAGTATAATAACATTCTTTTATAAAAAAAATAATAATAAAATTCTTTTAAATTATATGAATAATAATTTAATATTTTAAAATGTTATAATTTTAATGATGTCTCAAGAGACCTTTTTATCAATAACTTTTTAGTGAAAAAATAATTTTACTTTTATTGAAAATAACAAATCTCAATCATAATTTTTGTCCTATAAATTTAAAAATTGAATAAGAAATCATAACTTGTTAATTGTAACTTTTGTTATTGAAAAATAAATCACAATCATAACTTTTGCATTAAGGAATAATAATTTTTATTTTGTAAATCACAAGAATTAAATAAAAAGTATAAATTATTAAGTGTAATTTTTATTATTAAAAAATAAGTTTTCAAAATATAAAATTCCATTTATAATTTTTGTTTAAAGAATTATAACTTTTTGTAAGAAAATTATAAAAATTGAACAAAAAATCATAAATTGTGAATAAAGTAAAATTATATTTTTAATTTAAAATTCAGTAACAAAAAAAATTTAAAAAATTTTATTAAAATTATAATGTTTTGAGTGATCAAATTATTATATATATAATTTAAATTATTTTTTGTCGTTTTCCCATTTTTAAAAGCAAATCGTCGGAAATTAAGATTAAATTGAAGTACTCATCCCGAAATATCTATTTTCTTGATCGAGTATCACGAGTGCATTATAATATGAGAAATAGAGTGGCGAATTGGTAAATTAGGGGAGGGATGAGGGATGGGGAAAGGCCAAGGGGAGCAGGAAGGAAGGTCCACGTGTACGAACACGCCTGACCTTAGTCATATCTCGAGTGCTATCATGATTTCTTTGATCTCTACCTTGTAGAAACTTTTCCATATTTAATCTCAAAGGTCACCGACTGTATGCTGCAATTTCAGGTCAATTATTCAAGATTATATCCCCACACACTGACTAGGATTAGTTTGTTTAAACGCTTCCATCATCCTTTTAAATTGAAAAAAAAAAAAACAAAAGGAAATGAAAAGCCAGGAGCTTTAGTGCCTGTTTGGCTTGCCATTGGAATCTATTGTTTGGGAGTGAATCGATTTTTAAAGGCAAATTATCCAAACAGCAACAAAATGAGATAATCGATTAAATGGGTTAAAATCAATCTTTTTGTTGAGTTGTATTTGTGAGCTTTTGGGGGAAAAACTATCAAAAAGCATTGGGAAAAATTATAAAGAAAGGTTCAAGAAATTTTTTAAAAAAAGACACAAAATTTAATAAAAATAAAACCAAACTCTTTTCTCTCTCTTTTTTTTCAGTAAAATTCAAATTTTTGATTCTCAAAAAAATTATTAACATAAATTTCTGCTAACTACCATCCTCTATTTAGTACTTGTTATAAAACTAATTTAAATAAAATATTAATTGATAGAGAAAAATTAATTTTATCAATTTTGTTAAAATAAATTTAAAAAAACAGTATCCAAATAAATTGTATTATAACATAATTAATTATAATTAAAATTTATTATTTAATTAATTATTTTTATAATTTATTATATTTAATTAAAATCTAAATGAGCATTTATTAAAGTGGTCCCGCTGAGGGCCAGGAGTGGTGTGCAAATGGGCTGCTTTGGCAAAATATATTCAGTCGCGTTGGGCATGGTATATTCCACGAAACACAACCCTGTTGCATTTGATTTCACCATGATCATTCCGTGGGGTCTGTGTGTTTTCATAATGGGACAGCGCTTATCATGACTCCTACATGCGTAACCGGTTATTATCGAAGCGAAGCCATAATTGGTGGCACCTTAGTGCTGGCGAATCTCGAGTCCATAATTGAAGATGCCAAGACATGCTCTGGATATCAAGACTCGCTATACTGAAGATTTAGTGTATTTAAATTAAAAAATTTATAACTGACGCTTAGAATTTAACTGAAGTTAATAAATTAAGGTTAGAAAAAAAGTCAGTTAATATAACGTGACTTATGTTTGAATACTTTTTTTTTTCAAAAATCACTTAGATAAATTAAAATTTGTTTCGATAATTTAATTCAAAAGTCAGTTGAGATTTTTAATGATAAAAATAAACATAAATTTTTTGTATATTTTTTGACTAATTAATAAGTAAAAATAATAAACTTAAAATTACAATTGATAAGTAAAAAATCTTAAAATTTTAATTATAAAAAGATAAAATAAATTCATAAATTATGTTTAATAAGTAAAAAATCTTAAATACTCAGCTGAGATTTAATTTTAAAAAATCTTAAGATTTAACATTTATTTATTTAATAGTGAAAACTTGGAATCTTGTTTAAAAAGAAGTTCAAGTATCAGAGAATTTTACAAATAATGGATGCAAAAGCTGATGATTTTATCAACAAATTTTAAACCTAAATTAACTGATTAATTAAAATTCTCTAATATTTAAACTTTTTTTAAATGAAATCTTAAGTTTTTACTATTAAATAAATAAATATTATTTGTTATGAATTTAGAAGTTTAAGGTATGTTTTACACATCTTATAAGTTCAGGATTTAGAACATTTTTTGTAATGCCTCAAGGTCTAAAATGCTCATTAATTCATTTATAAATTATAAAATATTCAATTCTAAAAGATAAAATAAATTGACAAATTAAAAAATCTTAAACTTTTAGAAGTTAGAATAAAATGATAATTTACAAAATATTAAATTAGACTATCAGTTTTCTTAATTCAAATTTATACATAAACTTTAAAAAAATTATAATATTGCCAATGAATTAATCTCATCTAATTTAATTGAAAAATGAATTATAATATTTCAGTATAAAGCATAAAACTCACTTCTAGTTTCATATACTTATGAAAAGGAAAGAAAAAAAAAGTGCCCTTACGTTAAAAAATGAGCTTCCTGTATGACATTGTAAAAAAATTAGGTTAGTAAAATTATGAACTTAAAAAAAAAATTCTAATTTTATATGTTGGAATCTGTGTAACATTATTTATATGACTTTCTCTTTCTTCTCTCCTGTTATAATCTTACCGCTGTGTTTCAAAAGCCATCTTTTATGGCTTCACGTTAAACGAGCGTTTGCCTTCCAATGTTAGTTATAATTTTTTTTTGATTCAAACAATATTTATTGAACTTTTAACATCTCAACGTAAGTTTGTACCACCCTAATCTAAGTTAAAAGGTTATCCAAACACACCCTTGATCTTCAACTTTTGTGTTGGTTGAAGTTGGTTGGGGTTGGGACGACCAGTCATAACGCGAGTCTTGAAATTTTGTGACCGGCAGAATGTGATACAGAAGTCAGAAAAAAGCTTCGCCCGACGGTGAAAAGTTGGGAAGAAAGGTCATGACTTTCAGTCTGCTAATTAACAAAGAAAAGGATGCGTATCTTTATCAACTCTGCCCTTTTCAAACTTGGTACAGGCACACACATCCCTCCACAATTACGTTGCCTGATTAGTCTTCCCTAATTGTTAAGAGACATCAAAATTCTCCAAAGGCAAAAGGACCCACGTGCTTCTACGATTGGAGAGTAAGAGCCAAACCCCTTCTACGTTTTTCATAGAACTCGAGAATTGACATTAGTATTACTCGCCGTCAAGAATATACCAGATGAATGAGTAGGTCTTTCGCAGCCCATAGCCAATAACAGCAAATGATTATACCATCATCAAATCGAGAAAGTCAAGTTGCTCTACTCCTCTTCAAGACTTTGTTTAGACGGGTCATTTGGACTTGGATATGGCAACTTGCACATATCCATGCATCCAACAATCGTTAAAAAGAAACAAAAAAACCAATCCTTTGCCGTGAACTCCATCAGCGAATAACTTGCCAATAAACGAAAGAAAAAGGGATATGGAGCTCCTCCTTGAAAGCCCATCGCCGTTTTAACTGACCAAGTAATGAAGCATATAACAAGCAGAGAGACAGGGACCACAAACCTCGTCAACACTATCTCTTCTGGCACAGTTCTTCCGAAGCGCATCAATTAAGCTATGAACCTCATTATTTGTTCCGGTGCTAATATTTATTTTTATCAAGCCTTGATCAATTCATTGAACTAAACAGACTTTCTTATAAAATCATGATTTTTTAAGAAAAAATCATTATTTACATCATAACCTGTGAATAGTACATGTTTTTTGTTGTTGTAAAGTTTATTTTTATTCTGCACAAGTGTCCTCTTATTAGAAATAATATTGTTTGATAAGATTTTATATGTCAGCACCTCAGTATAAAATTTATTTTTATATTGAGATGTTGATGATTAGGTAACTTCATTGAATTGAAATTTCTGAAAAGCATTCTGATTTAGGATTTTGAAGTGAAAATTAGACTCTCAAGTCCCAACGGCTTATATGTGAAAGATTAGCAAAAGTATTTACAAAAAACACTATGAAGATCAACACTTTACATAATTAAAGCTCTGAACTATCTCAGTTTTCGTAAAATATTGAGGCGCGAATAAAGAATAGTGCATAGCACAATACTCTTCACAAAGCTACAAAATATAGATCAATTAATCACATTATATATATATATATATATATATATGGATCTATGGCTATGAGAAGATTATTTTATACAATGGATGCAGCTTAAACTCAACTGAGAGTCATCAGTATCATCTTAAGCTGGAAGAACCTCTGTCATCTGTTAGGAACCACTGAGCGGGAGGGATCGATGATTTGGAAACCAGCGCCTGCTAAACATGATTTCTTGTCTCCGATCAACCAAAGTCTGCCATCATCAGGCAAATTTTAACGAAGAGCATGAAAAAGAGTAAGCCAATGATATGATATAAACTACTGAATTCCCAGCAAGATAGCAAGGAAAGTGAGAATATTTTTCCCCATTTCTCAATGGTCACAAATGCCAAGCAAATTTCCGTCCTGTAACCTCTTGCAATCTAACCCAGCAGCAACACCACAATTTAACTACGTAATCAATGCTAAAAGAAAAGGCAAGTCCTCTTAGTCGAAACAAAAACTTGTTTTGATCCACCATTCATTACCATTATACTCCCAACTCTTTCTCCTATTCTTATTATAAGAACCAACTTTATATACATTAAGGAATTCAGTTAAAATTAGGTACTACTTTTAAATTTTCAAAATAACTTTCGACAAACTTCATTAAATAAAGGATAACAAGATAGTTAAAAGGTTGTTTAATTAGTTATTGAATATCAAAGTAAAAAGCATTAACACAATGATAACAAGCCTTATTTTAAAAGGTGAAGTAAGTTATATGAATTGCACGATGCTATTATACTTTATTATTTACCAAGTTTTTAGGAATGTTGTTAACAAAGAGATTTCGGTTAATAACTTTCATAAGTGTCATATTTAGCCTTCCTTTACCCTTCTCAACAAGGCTCAAAATTATTCATTCCACTCTCCTCATCGGTACCTCATGCAATCTTCTCTATATATATCCAAACCATTCCAAATGATCTTCTACCATTTTTCCCTCACTAGATGCTACATCTCCTTTTTCTCGTATATGCTTATTTCGGATTTTATCTTTATTTGTATGTCCGTATATCCACTTCAACATTTTCATCACTGCTATTTCAATTTTATGCTCCTGATGTTCTGTTAAGGCCCAACATTCACTACCATATGATATAACTAGTTTTATAGCAGTTCGATAAAGCTTTTTTTATGTTTATTAGGTATTTTTTGATCACAGATAACTCCTTGAGCCTTTTTCTAATTAAACCACCCAACTTGTATCCTATATGCAACATTTCCATCAATTTCCCCACAATGTTGAATAATAACTCCCAAATATCTAAACTTTTTCACTTGAAATATAATTTGATTTGCCAATTTTACTTTCAAATTACTATTGATTGACCTTTTATCAAAATTACAATGTAAATATTCCATCTTACTCTTATTCAAGTGGAAACCTTTTGACTCTAATGCCCTCTTCCATAATTCAAGTTTATAGTTAATCTATTTTCTTGCCTTCACAATAAAAAACTATATCATCCACAAATGCATGCATTAAGAAAAGGAAAAAATAAGACAACATCCGTAGGTTTCCAATAAGGACAACGGAAAAAGATCTTTACAATAAGGCGTGAAGGAATAACATTATAATGAGACAGTTTAGTTGACAAACATATTTGGCATGTGGATTACATGAAATAAGACAAGCCCAGTCAGTAGCTAGAATGACATAAATAAAAAGGCAAGCAAGCTACGAGGTGAAATGCTGGACTAGGTTCTTGTAAGGTTATGAACTCTTTTGTGAACAAATATTTAACCGTGGAAAATAGCATGTTCAAGAGTGCCGAAATAGTGTGATACCAAACGATACGAAAAGAGAAACTAAAAAGAGCATGATACAATTCAATCAATCCAGTATATGGCATCCCCTATTTGTCAGCTATAGGAATTGCAGCTTAACTTTCTCTTAACTACATAATTAACAAAGTGAAACTAACTTAATCCCTACCCTTCGTATAAATTCGTTCACCTTAGACACCAACCACATAATTTCTAACAGTTCTTGTAATTAAACCAAAATGCTTCTTCCTGATGATAATGTAGAACTATCAAATTCCAATTGACTGAAGCTGTGACAATCACCCTGTTTTATTAGAAAATATGTTATAAATGATAGTTAGTTACCCAGTTAGATTCTGTTACAGCACAGTGTTCGTCTATGCCTATATATATGTGAACAATACAGGGTGATAACATAAGGTGGGATCCCTGATTGCACTCGTCTTCTACATACATTTCTCAGCTTCTATATGGTATCAAAGCATATAGAACCTTTTAGAAGCCAATCTGATCAGTGCTTCTGGCTCCAATGAACAGAGCAATTTAACAGAAGGATTAAAACTGCTCAGAGTGATTTTGGTGAAATTTTTTTCGATATTTATAGAATTTGTGGAAAAAGAAGGAATTCAGCACAGGATTAGCTGTCCATATGCTCATGAGCTGAATGGAAACATGGAGAGAGAACACAAGCATATTACTGAAATGGGCCAGACACTGTTAAGCTTCATGGCCTCTGAGCCTGTGGACAGAGGCTTTTCTTACAGTGGGGTTCATTATTAATCAGCTCCCAACTCCTAGGTTGGCCAGTAAAGGTCTATTTCTTGCATGAGCTTTGTACTTTAAGCAAGATTTTGCAGATGGTCCAACAGTTTTGTATGTTTAGGAATCTGGTGAATGAAGGTATCTTTGACATTATCACTGATGTTTTGCAAATTAATACAAGAACACTCCTAGGACTGTTGGCTAAACATATGTTAACAAAGCCAGATATGTTGCCAAACACATGAATTATTATGCTTTTGTGACCTGCATCACTCATACAAGATGTGCACCTTTGTTTTGAGCATTATGGTGTTCCTTTCTTGTGGGATCAGAGGAGTAGGAAGTTGATAGAGCTGGTGATTCCCAAAAGATTTGCTTGTCATTTCCTAAGGCCTACGGTAGACAATCTAGGAAGGGAGGTGATTAAGAGAAGATTGAGACCAGTAGTCAAGAGGTTTATCCCAAGGTTTATAATTGTAAGATTAAAATGATAAAAGAAAAGTTAGGTTAGGTGTAGCTTAGGAAATGGGTAGTGTTAATAGGGGTTGATAAGGGATGCGGAAACGGAATTGTGCTAATTAGGAATAAAATCTTGTCAAACTAGAAAACATAAAACAAACACAAGAAAACACAAGGTAGGAATCAAAATATGGGAGAAGAGTTGTGGAAGAAGGAAATGAAATAACAAAAGGAAAAGGATAGAGATCAAGGAGAAGATCCTCTAGTGCACCTACCTCTAGCAATTTTAACCTTTAAAGACACCACAAGAGTTGATCAAACTCTTAATCACGTTTGTGTTCACCATGGGATGCCACCACAAGCAGTAAGGTTCACAAGAGTTATAAACTCTAAAAATAAGAAATACTCTTATTATTCAAATCAAACTTAGCATACAATGAAGAAGTGCATGCCTATATATAGTCTTACTCAAGACTCAAAAACCCTAATTTAGAAATCCTAGTTTGACGAAAATACTAATAAAAAAATAATAAAAATAAGCCACATAATCTAGAGATTATATCTCCGAAAATCATAGAATTACATTATTAAATAAAATCCTAACCTAGAAATAGAAAACAAAACTTAAATAAAATATTAAACTAATATCTGAATTATTAATTTAGTCAATTTGAAGCAATCAAGGGATCTTCAAATCTAGGAGAATCTAGCCTCTTATGCTTTCAATGCCTTGTACTGGATCTTTTAGCACTTGAGGCTTGAACTCTAGCCTTGTAGGGCACGCCTCCTTGGATTCTTCGAGCTTTTTGTGTGTCATGCACCAAGTGATTTCCATCAGAGGTAATGAGCACTTTTTGACTCTTTAAATCTGTCCATTTGTGCAGAGGGAAGGGTGTGGAGTATTTTGAATATTAAGATTGGTGAGGAGAAGTTTGGCCTCTTGAAAGTCTAGTGTATTAGGGTGGAGGAAGTCATCTTTCTTCATCATTTTATCTTCTGCTTAGTGGTGTGTTTATGAGTGGCTTATGGCTCATGCTTATGTTACTGTTCATGATTGTATTTTATGCTGCCTCTGTAACTGTAGATTGAGCACATGAGTGTATGAGGGATATGAGTTTGGCTTGAATCATCATTATCCTTGTAATCAAACATTATTATTCAGCAATAGTATTTTTCAGTCCCATTTCTAGTATATTTTTCTGGTTTTTGCTTGTCTTAATTTTACTACAGGCTTTACTACAGGAGAGGGTTCCATCAGAAATCCATTCTTAGTTGACAGGAATGTTGACGGAGGTGAAATAAAAAGAGCATGCTGTGGTTAGGTGATTGCTTGCATTTTGTTATTTGATACAACAAAGAATCATTCCATAGCAGCTGGTGAAGCCAATCAGATAAAACTTTGGGATATTGAAAATATCCAAATTCTTAGCAGTAAATGTGATGATTCTGGAGCTGGAAACACAGAGAAGCAAAGAAGCTTGGAGGCTGTGTGTGACAGGTTCAACATTCGGGAACTAACAGACTTTGTTGATATTGTCGAGTGCCTAACAAGTCCATATCTTATTAACTAGGATTCAGGAATTGATCTCTCAGTTTTTCCAGACAAAAATAAGTTAAGCCATCTCGGGAAGAAGCCATGGTCTCAAGTTTGACTTCCTACGAGTGCAAGGTGAAACTTTAAGGGCCATGAAATGATGGGCCAGTAAGCTTTGGGCCAAGGTCGACTCAAACAGCGTGAGTGAGGTGCATGCTTGTGTTGCGGGCGCGAAGAAGGGGGGGTGGATGGGGCTTGGGGTTCAGAAGGACGAAAAGGAATGTTTGGAGAGCCCATGGTCTCTTGAATACTAGAGTTTTTTTCTTTTCTTTCTGTCTTTCTTTCTCTCTCTGTTTTTTTTTTTTGTGTGTTTGGGGTTGGGGGGGTTCATTAGGTTCAACTCCATCAAGGAGACTACTTATTGATGACTGTTGGAATAGAATTTTGAATCATGTGAAAGCAAGCCATTAGGATACCATGCCTTATGATCTCACTGACAAGCCTAGTATGCGAATGGAACTCTGTGGTTTTTCTTTTTGAAATAGACTCTGAATATTTCAGATTAATCCAATATGAGTATAAGTATCAAGACTTCACAAAAGTATACAACTAGAGATCAATACATAACTATAAAGATAAAACTGGACAGTAACAGAAAAGAGATATGAGAAAGTCTAAGAGAACAGAGAGATCGGGAAGTCAAGACTAGCAGAAACATGCTTATGACTCTCAATAACAATGAGTTCAAGAAGCATGAAAAAGGATGGAGTTAAATTCTCCAAGCCATTAAATTAAGCTGACAGTAAGTCCTTGACTCCTAGGGGCTGTACACAGGCCGGGTTAAGCCAGGTGTTATCCTTGCTTAGCATTCGACCCAAGATACAGTTTTGGAACCATAACCTGCCCAATGTTTCCTGTTATGGTTCCCTAACTGAGATGGATGCGTATAGGTCTAGCCGGCTTGGCCAGCCTGGTGAAAAGAATTTGAATACTTTGTACCAATAAGGGAAGCAATGTCAAGCACATATTAAAATGTAAATTTTAGTCAAAAATATCAATAAGAGAAATGAAAAAGTATATTTAAAGAACAGATATTAATAGAATATACTCCCTTCGTTCAAAAATTTAAGGCATTTTTAACCTAATCTCACCCCTCAATAAAGTAGTCACCTACTTTCAAACTAACCTTATCTTTTCATATTTACCTCTATTAAACACCCTATAATAAATATAAAGTCATTATCAATAGGGAAACTTTTTGAAAAAAGACAATGATTACACCTCGAAAGATTGAAAATACTTTATATTTTTGAACATCGAACTCCTCAAAAAATGTCTTACATTTTTGAAAGGAGGGAATATAAAATAAGAACAAAATAAAGATATTCTTGAAAAAATGGTGCAAAAGAATGTCAAGCACTTTTTTCAAAGCATACAAGGTCGTGAGAAAACCGTGACAATGATTCTGTAACAAGACAGCCTTGAATATTACTATTAATGCCACTAAAATATAAATAATTATATTGGATTGAGCTATGTCAGAATGGCTGAAGATCTTGCCTATGATCTGGCAGCCCACGTGCTCTCCTTTTATATGGATAAATTGGCCCATTTTATTAGTTTTGACCTGACTTGGCACCAACAGTTTGGTCCAAACTGCACTTATCAGGTCGACTAGGATAATGTTCAGCTCTACAGGTGGGAAAGGTACCGAGACTTGTTTAAGCTGTCTTGCGAGAAATTCATTCATTTTCTTATGCCAAACATTAGGCTTCGGTAAAATTCATGAAGACTATCTAAAAGTAAATGTGCAGTTCTTGAGAAGTGGTTGAAGGAGTTCTTGTGAAGGCTATTGTGGAGGTGGGGAACTTAGAGGATATGGAAGGCCTATGGACATGTTATCTTCTTATTCTTATTCTTCTTTTATGACTGTGGGGGAGTAGAACATATTAGTATTATACCATCGTACCTTGACTTTCTGCAACAAACTCCACCGCAACATGTTAATACACTTTCAGCTTCTTAGACATCCGCCTCAATGTAGAGAGTGACCAGAAGGATTGCAGCAATTACAATTGACAAATTAAGGGTGATTGGATGATCCTTATGTGGCTTACATTCCCCTATAAATTGCAACCATTGTACTTTTAGAGTGAAATCCTTCATAGTACTTTTAAACTAGCCATGCACTCCAGTGAATCTTTGATTGTCGATCAGGTAGAGTGACCGTGAAATAAATTACTAACCATCATGTAGCCCTATACACCACGAGTTTCAATCCCGATAGTCAGATGACCTCCTAAATCCAAGCAGACTATAACCTAAAATAAAAGTCTATCATAATGATACCCTACCGTTGATGCATCTGGTTGGTTGGTTCATGCAAACTCGTATACTCTAACCTCTTAAAGAAATCAGATATCTAGAATCAATCATCATCTTATCTACCAAAAGCAATTTAATACTGGAAAAGGTATCATGAATAAAATGAATTGCCAGATAACCACCCCCCAACCCAAAAAAATTACTCCCTCAGCTATGCTGCAGTATATGTGGACACACCACTGTTTTACAACTGCGAGAGGATAATAAATGACCGCAAGACATTGCTGTCATTACCGGATCATATTTTAGGAACCGGAATTATTTTTGTTTGAATGCTCTAGACCAGAATACAGTGAAAGAAAGGGCCGTTAGTTATCTAATCTCCAAATTCTTAACGGTCTTTAAGATGTGTAGCATCCGATGTTTCATATCCTTCCAATATAGCCGATTGCATGCAACAGGATAATTCAACGAGGGATTAGAAAGTCAAGCACTTTGGTCAGATTAAGCCCTTGGCTTGTCAATCGAAATGTAACCAAGAGAGGCAAGTAAAACGGCAAATACGTAGTCACCCAGCATGCAACAGAAGCAACAGAAGTAATCTTAAGCAACCGGTACCACGAAATTAATAAGATCAAATCAATTATGATCATAAAATTGCCAAACAAAAGTCCAAAAAAAAAAAAGAAAAGAAAGAGAAAGAATGAGAAAGAACAATACTTTACAGGAAGGAGCAAAGGGCGAATGGGCGAGAAATCAATCGGAATGGGAATGATGGTAGTAGTCATCCAAATCGAGGGTAGTAGAAGAATCATCGGAGTCCGAGGAGGAGTAGTAATAGGAGTAATAGGAATCGGGTTGAGGAAGGCAGAGGAAGGTCCAGAGGCAGAGAGCGAGACGACCCAGCTGTTGCAAAGGGAAGCAACACACAAGATCTAAGAGCTGCTCACTGCTGAGACGCTCTGGAATGCATGCCACCGATTGCCATACGTCCGCTGATACATGTGCCACCGAAACCACTGCCAGGCTGTTGAATACCATTTCCCTCTCTTGACGCTGTTTTGTGAAATTTCGGGTTTGTTGTTCCCCAGCTCTGTTTTAATGTGATTTCTTCGGCTTGACTTTTGAATTTGGTAGCTCTGTCTTTATTCCAAAAATTTATCTTCTTCTTCCTGCTCACCCCCAACACGATTCCACCAAGCAACCTCTAATTTTCTATTGCCCAGCGCTCATCCGTAAACTTCCAATAATAATAATAAAAAAAAAAGGCTGATATCATGATTCACCCCAAATTTGATCCTATGAATATTAATTAATAAATATTTATATGAGACGATAGAATGAGCATTCACTCTCGCATGTCACCCCCAGAGGGTCACCGCAATTAAACTGATAGGAAAATGCTAATTAAAATTAATATTGATAAAATATATCTTTTTCATTAAAATACATAAAATATTTTTAATCGAATTTCATCCTTAAATGAAGTAGTTACCTACTTTCAAACTAACCCTATTTTTTATATTTATTCTTGTTAAACGTTCTATAATAAATATAAAGTCATTATTAATAGGGACACTTTTGAAAAAATAACAATGATTATACCTTAAAAAGATTAAAAATATTTTATATTTTTTAATATTCAATTTTTTAAAAAATATCTTACATTTTTTAACGAAATGAGTATTAAGACTCTAGCAACAGTTTTTTCTCGAGAGGGAGAACAACAATTGAGCATCGAATACCTCATCTTAAAAGAAAAGCTATAATAAGAATTAATAGATTATTTAGTAGATATGTAAGAAAGATGAGTCATTTGATTGATTTTGAAATGAAAGAGTTACCTTGTCCACCATATCAATAGAGGTGTTCATAGACTCGGTTTAGTTTAGTTTTGGGCAAAAACTAAACCGAATCGAACTATTCGGTTTACTTATAACTAGGACTTGATTGATTTTTATAGAGCTCAGTTTGGTTTAGTTTAATTTTTGGTTTGGTTCGGTTTGGTTAAGGTCTAGATCAGGTTTCAATATACTTATTTAATTTTTTTTTTTCCATCTTCATAATGGTGCTATGTATTAAAATTAAATCTAATTCTTTTTTGCTCTTTTTTTTCATAAATAGAGGTATAAAAATGTAATACAATTTCAATGTGATCACAATAATTAATCATAAAAATTGATATAAGTTTTTAAGATTAAAATTATTTGATATTATGTATTTTCATTCAAGTCCTTTGAAAATATTTATCTATGTATCTATATTTTGATAAATAATGAAAAAGTTATTATACAAAATTCAAAACAAAATGCTTCTTGTAGATAAATTAAAAATTGAGGCTTTCAAATTGCAAATAATTACATGATAGTCATAGCATGAGTATTATAATTATTTAATATTATGCATTTTTATTCAAGTTTTTTAAAAATATTTATCTATAACTATAAAAAATTCAAAACAAAATGCTTCTTGTAGATAAATGGTTATATATTTTATAAATAAATAATTAGTATTTTTTAATTAGGTTTAGCTTGGTTTGGTTTCTAGTATTCAAAACTGAACTTGAATCAAACCAATCTGTTCCCATATCGTAAAAACTGAAGCAGACTTGATTGTTGTTTAGTTTTGATCGGTTTCTTTCGATTTGAGTTGGTTTGGATCGGTTTTGAACACCATTACATATTAGTCAGGTATGGAGGAATGGGTCAAGGAATTTACCTTTGACCACATTCAAAGCTGATTGGATAGTCTCAATACTCTGTACTCAAATTTTTATTTTCATTTTACTTTTTAATAAATTTGAATGCTCTGTTTTCTCACTTGCATTAAAAATCTTTGGATTGAGATTATATCAAGTAGAAATATCTTAAGGGTGACTCTTCTCTTAAATTAGGTATGCGTTGAGACTAATGGATTAGGTGTAGCTGTGTAGCTGTTGGTTATTGGTAGGATTAGAGTAGCCAAATCACTTGTTGGGGCTTCTCTCTCTGTCTAATCTGCGAGGGATAAGTGATATAGGCAAACATTGCCTTAAAACTACCTTCACTTGATTAGAAAGCTTTGAGGAGAATAGAAAAAGAAAAGCAACGACCGATCTCACATGTCAAAGGATTTATAGCCTTAAATAGCCTGACTCTAGACGAAAGGCCATGGTGAAACGAATTCGAATGCTGACATAATGGCTGTTATAATGTTATCTATATGTGTGTTAAAAGAAACATCACATTCCTCAAGATTGAAGAAGCCTTAGCGTATAAATGTTAAGATGAGAATTTAAGTGAATGAGATGAACTGAAAAAAGGAGTAAATGTGCCCATACATTGTATATGGGTGAAATGTGATATTGGGCTCTTTTATTAAAATATTTTTAAAGAATAAAATTTAATGTTTAAACCTTTAAAAGTTTGCAATGCATAATGGTGATTAATTATTCAATGTATAACCTTTAGAACTTTGTAAGTAATTAATGATGACTTATTTAATACTCTAACTTTTTGGAATTTACATTGTCTGTTAATGAGTTTCTTAATTTAAATTCAATTTTAAAGTGTTTAGAAACTGTAAAGGTTTTAGAGGTGCCAACATTAACGGACATTTATTACCTATATAAGGCATGCTTGTGGAGTGTTTAGAACCTATTATTCCGTAGCTTTTGAACATCCATCTTTCTGAGTTCTTCTTTCCCGTGTGTGTACTTCTATTGTTTTGGCACCTTGATGTATACAGGAAGGGTTTGTTTAATCTTGAGGAGTTGCCGCATTCAAATTGTACTGTCCTTGGCACGACTCAAATTAGATTAACTAATATAATTCCCAACAACGGCTTGGCCGGCTTTCCCACAAAGCATCGGTGAATGAGTTTTCCAAATTGTAAACGGAGGGTACCCAATAAACATGGTGGGGTTCACATTGAGCGATTAATGTTTGTCTGTTGCTCATGATCTGATATGAATCATCTTCAATTGGGACCAGGGGTTGTAATCATCTGTCTTGTTTGTCTGCATGTGGCATGTTGAAGGAGAACATAAACCATTAACAAATAGTTGACACTAAAAATCTGGTCACACTGGCTCGCAAAAAATGACAAAATTCATAGAAGATGTAGATTTTGATGGCAAATTCACAATCAATATATCATTCACTAACGCCATTACATGCTTTATATATGGACGAGAGTTTGGATAAAGAGACACAATGGGGGACAGAAACATCACACGTTGCAAAGCATCAAGCATGCAATGGGAGCAGTATCGCTCCACTTCAAAGCGCCTGCCTTGTTTTCACCTTACAATTTATGATTGCTCAAAGACTAAACTTGAGACTCTCTCTCTCTCAATAAACAAGTAACAGGTATTTTCGAGTTTGTATTCAAGAGTTCAAGTCAATTCCTTGTTATTTAATGCCACAGCTTTCCAGCTGCTTCCGCAACTCTATTTCTTCCTCTCCCCTCTCCTTTTACTGCTGAAAATCTCTCAAAATATGGGTATGGATATGGAGGTGACCGAGCTTCTAACCTTCCCAGCACTTTTGGCACTGCTAGTCTTCGTCCTTTCTGTTCCCTTCATCACTAAATTTGTCAAAACTAGAAAACACCCGAACCTGAATCTTCCACCAGGAAGCTTAGGATGGCCGGTTATTGGGGAGACCTTTGAGTTTTTGAGACGGGGTTATGAAGGCGAGCCGGAATTGTTCATAAGGGAGAGAATGGAGAAGTATGACTCGAGAGTGTTCAAGACTTCACTGCTGGGAGAGCCCATGATCATGTTCTGTGGGGCAGCTGGGAACAAGTTCTTATTTAGCAATGAGAACAAGGATGTTCAAGTATGGTGGCCCACCTCTGTAAGGAAGCTCTTGCGCTCTTCTTTGGTAACCAAGGTTGGTTACGAAGCTAAGACCATGAGAAAGCTGCTCATGAGTTTCCTTAATCCAGAAGCGCTCAAAAATTACTTGGCAAAAATGGACACCGTTGCCTGCTGCCATATTACCAATCATTGGCAAGGTAGGTAATGCAGTTGGAAGTTATCTCTTTCTGTTCACCATCATTTGCTTGCTGGGAATCAATGCTGGCGTGCTGAAAAGCTCAAGTTCGTTCTTTATTTTTTATGGCCTGGAAGCTCCAGTTCTATCACCTTCTCTTTTAATATTTTTCCTTTCTCTATTTAAGAGAATTTGGCTGCAATCATGATCGTCCACATCATGTGGGTTTACTGCTTGATCATTGATAAACGGAAGCAACAGAATGATAGGGAGAAAAAGTCGAAGCATAGCACAGCATGCAACCGAATTCTCATTTTTACGACTCTACTGATTGTGCATTCCATAAATTCTCTACATTTTCCGTCAAATAAAGAAACCATCAGGCGATCGATATATTAAATCTACCTTCGTTTTAAGAGTCCACTGAGTGTGCCACAATTTTCTCATTTTGTTATGATTAATTCATTCTTAAAAAAATGAAGAGAGAAAAATGATATCATTTCAATAATCTTCCTAACTTTACTTGGATTGTGAAGGGAAAGAAGACGTGCTTGTGTATCCCACGGTGAAACTATACGCGTTTGAATTGGCTTGTTGCTTATTTGCAAGCATTGAAGATGCCATCCTGGTATTCAAACTCTCACCACAATTTGATGAATTCCTCAAAGGGGTGATAAGCTTCCCCATCAACTTGCCCGGAACAAGGTTTCACCGTGCAATGAAAGCGGCGGATGCAATAAGGGAAGAACTAAAGTTGATCATAAAGAAAAGGAGAGTCGATTTGGAAGAGAAGAGGGCCTCACCCACCCAAGACCTTCTCTCATATTTGCTAGTTACATCTGATAGCAGCGGGAGGTTTTTGACCGAAAAGGAAATCATAGATAACATACTGCTGCTGCTATTTGCAGGTCATGATACTTCCAGATCAGTCATAACATCGGTCATCCAGTATCTCGGCCGGATGCCACACGTTTATGAACAAGTGTTGGAAGGTTAGTGAAAAAATCCGCGGTGGCCGTATAAATTATTTTTATTGTATCAGAGGTTTGATGGTGTGTTTATGACAGAACAACTAGAAATTTCCAAGGGGAAAGAGGCGGGGCAGTTGTTGCAATGGGAGGATATTCAGAAAATGAAGTACTTGTGGAATGTCGCGTCTGAAGTCATGAGACTGTCTCCTCCCGTGACTGGTTCTTACAGAGAAGCTCTGAACAATTTCACCTATGCTGGTTATACCATCCCTAAAGGGTGGAAGGTACACGTATTCTTGGCTTTTTTATGACTCTTTTTTTTTAAGTTAAAACATGAGTTGCCCTCTGGCAGTTGTCGTGGAGCACTAGTTCGTCGCACAAGGATCCGGCATTCTTCCCAGATCCTGACCATTTTGATGCTTCGAGGTTTGAAGGAGCAGGGCCTACCCCATTTTCATATGCTCCTTTTGGAGGAGGACCTCGAATGTGTTTGGGGCAAGAGTTTGCACGCCTTGAGATTCTCGTGTTCATGCACAACATCGTGAAAAGATTCAAGTGGTGGTTATTGATTCCCAATGAGAAGTTCCTGCACGATCCCATGCTAAAACCTTCAAAAGGACTTTCAATCCGCCTTCAACCTCTCCAAATCTAGCCCACTTCTTTCGTCCATTCCATATAACACGGATTCCAAGTTACTTCACGTGTCAGCTTATATTATCTACATTTGAAATTTGCTAATTACTGTCATACTAAGAGTATCAATAACAGACGTGGTTTGATGCTCTGCGGAATGCAGGAGCGTTCCTTTCGTCACATCTTCAAGACTTTTAGTATCTTTGCCAGTTCATCCACTCTTAAGTTTCCTCACGTTATGATTTTAACGTGTCATAGTCAAGAGAGTTTTATTTAGAAATGAACAATTTCATAGCCCATGAAATTCTCAAAAGCGAGCCTAGCGATAGAAGAACATGCACTCAGATTCAAGTGACTGAAGTGAAGAGAGGTAACAATCTGAACAGCGGTAAATGAGGGAGACCTATAGTACCGAAATTATACAAGCGAACTACAATTTCTCGGAATTATATTCTCAGTCAACTCCTTAGCTCCACTGAAATATGCTTCCAAGCATAGAGGTCCTTTGATTGGTATGGCAAGCCTGTTTGACTTCATTTCTTATTAAAGCCGAAGAGAGACTTAATGGCATTGATGGCATTTTCATTGATAAATGATTCGTCAAATCTTTTCACGAGAGGATCAAATTCCGGTGATGCCCTTGCATTGGCCATGTCAGGATCTGTCTTGATTCTCTGTTAACGAAATAACAATTTTTCAGACAGCTAGCTGGTTTGCAAAGAAAGTGATCCAATACCTTACAATTACAGCAGACTCGCAAGTCACCTTAAAGTCTTCAAACCCTGCTTCCATAGCATCTTCGAGTGCAGAAAGCGAAGCTTGAATCTGTTCGAGAATTTGTTATTCAATTATTTTATAAACAGAGTTATATGGAATGACCTGATTCATTGCAGAGAAGAATGACGAACTGAGCAAGAATATCATTATCTATATCAGTCGAACAATGTGGGGAAAGTATATTTGATCGACTCATAATTAATCTATCTATGGATGAGGCAAATTATAATCAAAGGGAGATTATTGTTTGAACAGATTAGCCAAGCAAGGTTTAAAAATAAATATGCTGACCAGCTTTAACAATGCCATGTTTAATCAGAATCAAACCAAAAATTAAAAAGCATATGCAATGATTGCAACGTAAATTTGAAACGGCAACAAATGTATACCTGATTTAGCTTGGAGTAACAGCAGGCAACATTGTAACTCGCAACAGCAGCTTCCTCAGGTTCTGGCTTTGACCCCAAAACAGACTCAAATTTCTCCAATGCTTCCTCATATTTGGCACTTCTTCATTATTTATTCCAGGCAGAGAGAACAGAAACAAAAACTAAGAATGTCAGGCAGATAAAAACAATCAGTTCTTTAGTTTATATAAATTTATTTTAGTGTGCTTGAAAAACAAAGCAAGTTTTAACAATTTCTTTTGGCCATAGACACAGAAGGTTTCAAATAGAAGATGGCGGATAAAGAAAGGAAACAACTTAAGATTCAAGATATAAAATCCCTCTTATTCTGCTAATAAAAGACCACAAGTCACTTGCAGACAATTGCTGAGCATCAAACAGAGTTAGCAAGATTTACAAATTTATATAGCCCTACCACTGTCCCACGTTAAACCAGAATCATGTCTCAGGCACCTAATTCCCCAAAATAACTATGCCATGCATAGTACAGGAAGAAATCACTAAATTTAATACACTGTTCAAGATCATGAGTAGTCAAACGATTTTTGTTTTTTGGGGGTCAAATAGTGAAACAAATTTAATTCATAGTATGAACCAAATATAACATGAACGCATAATTTTTAAATAGTAAGTGGTGGGTCCTGATTTTCATCTTAAAGATCAAACTTCATAAGAAGAGCAAAACTAAATAAGCCAAAAGCAGTCAGAAAGAAGATGATAGAGTTTCCAAGTCTTACTTGTAAAGTTGCAATCCTTCGATCAGGTCCTTTTCCCTGCGCTCTTTCTGTTCCCTTTTCCTCAAGACATTTTGCATCTGAAATTTTTGAAAGTTTGTGGAATGATATTGGTTGTACCCCAATCAGAAGTACAGTTGTGGTGCCTTTCTATGAGAAATACAATATCTCATTCAGAACAACTAAGTAGTACTAGTTTGCAGTTCTAACATCATGACACATACTTGGATTTCCCTCACTCTGTTACTGATTACACCAGAGTTCCTCTCAGCTCGGATAATCTCCTTTTCTGTTAACTCACCTGTGTTATCTAACTTTCCTGTTGAAAAGAAAAATGGTGACCTAAGGGTTAAAAAATCAAGAGTTCACTAGATCAGACATTTAGTGTAAATGTGACATGAGATCACTTTCCAATCATGGTTTAAAAAAACATGAACTGACACTAACCATATCTCTTCTGCAATTTCATAAGTAATGGGCCAATTCTCTGGCGAATTGTATACATCGTCCTGCCATATTCTGCAGCTGGCCAAATTTCGGTGCCAAAAACTGCACTGCAGATATTGAACTTTTCCCTCACATCTCAATCATATAAACATCAAGCATTGAGTTTTCGTCTTGAGGTAACTTTCAAATTAGTAAACGCAGACAGGCAGACCATAAATGCGATAATTTCTTGTCCGTCAAGAACCTTGGATTTTGAACGTGTCAACATGAGGTTCTTTAATAACAGAGTAAACAGTTTAGTCAGAACCTATATTCACCATAAAAATTAAACCATGACTAAATAAGGCATTCAATAAATTACCTACCAAAATATCCTAGCACTACTCCCTTTATTTGGCTTCTCTCAACTGATAGACCTATTCCAAACAACACTTTATTAAGGGGAGGGGCTTTCACTTCCTCGTCCAGACCTATTTGACATATCATTCAGCATCCGCAATTGTGGCCCAAAGAAATCACCCACAATGACTGGGAGCCTACGAGGCTGATTCCCGAGTTCTCTCAGTCCATCTTACAGGATTTCAATATTATGAACTTAGAGTTCCTTATATGATATCTTTAAAAATTGTGCGTATGTGTGTATTCCACAAGGATCTCACGTGCATGATTTTTGCTTTAATTAAGCCACCCCACCATTAAATTCTGCCAAACCGATTAACTGAGAACCCTCAAATTCAAGGGCTTGCTTAGGCCGTCATATACGAAGAGATAATCGTCGCTAGCAAAGATACGGAACCATCATGGACAAATAAGGACTCCGGTATCGCTTGAAGGAACGAAATTAAAAAGAAAAAGAATACGATGGAACACCTGGTGGCAATTACTTTATCCCCAACGGTGAACTTTCCGGTATTGTCAGCCGATCCACCCGGCGCAATCGCATCAATATAAGTTCCACCATCGCGACCCTTTGCGAATTTGAGCCCGTAAGGCTGCTCTATTTCCACCTCATACTCTTCGTATGGCTCTTCTCCTCCTTCCCTTACTTCGCTCTTTTCACTTTCCTGTTTCGATGTTTGAGAGCCAAGCTCGGACGATGCCTTAACAGCAAAAAGGGACGATGTTGAGAGAAGGGTATTAGAGAAGCAAGAAGAAGCAGTGAGATATGGGATGTTTCTGGAAGAAAAGAGCTTGATGGTCAGCGGATACTGGGTTGAGTTTTGGATAGTTCTTGGCAATGTAGATACAGTGTAGAGATATGAATGGCCACTGGTAGTGGTAGACAAAGACATGATTATCATATCTTTGGCTCTAACGCAATGAAGCGCGGAATTCTGGAAAAGAGAGATCGTAACCTTTATCTTGCCTTACGCTTGCTTACACGTTGGGGACCCTCAGGCCTCAACAGGAATGAGAGGTTCGGTGCGGATCACACAGTTAGTGGCTCTAGACTCTAGTCTTCGTAGGCTCTCCTTCAGGTTCACTCATCTGATGCCACGCGTACGCCGGGTGCTTTTGCCTTTCATGGAATGGAACGGGAAGAAACGATGAAAAGCCCCTTGCACTCCACGAGGGAAGAGGTCTCTGCTTTCTCCTTGCTCCGTATTTTTTAACTTCTCATCAGTGGATCAAAATTTTTTAACAGTTGAGATTTAATTTTTCATAAAATTATAATAATGATTTTATATAAAATATATAAATAAAATATTATAGTTTTAAATTTTTAAATTAAACTTAAATAATTCAAATTTATTCATATATTTGTATATAAAATTAAAATAATAATTTTATTAAATATAAAATCAAAACTGTTAAAACTTTAATCTAACAGTGATAAAGATAAAAAGAGAGAGAGAAAAAAAAAAAAGAGACACTCTCATAAGGCTTTGAATCTTAATAAATAGAGTTGTTAGTTTGGACTGAACCTATAGAACCAACCTTTTTAAATCTAAAAATATTCAGGGGTTGGTTGTTTCTTTGGGATATAAAATGATAATTTGAGTTTAAACTTTTAAACCCTTATATATATATATATATATATATTAGTTTTAATACAAAAAAAAATTAAACACTACATACAATCATATATTAAAAGAAAACTTTAACCTCATTTAGTCATTCTCATTCCTTCTCCCTCATCCATCAACTGACCAAGTGACCAAGCACAAAGCCCCCCACCCTCCTTTCCTCCATCCTTCATTCATTAAAACTTAACTGATGATGCTAGCAAAATTTAATTATTGTCGGGGTTGATTTCATGACATTGCTATTTTTTATTAGTCTTAAATTTATTGTCGAGTGAATTGACTTAAGTTTATTTTTTTTAGACTTAATTGTTATATGTAATAATTTTTTTAAAATTTAAAATTTATTTTTTAAATTTTTAAATTAAAAAAATGAAAAAAAGGGTCATGACCCTCAGGCCCTTCAATCTTAAAGGCCAAGGTCGGGCTATGTAAAATAAGATCATGAAGTATATCAAGTTTAAAAAAATTCACTCATTTAGGTCTTAGCTCTTTAAAAGTTGACTCTAATTGACAGCTTTATTAATATTGATAAAGGCATATGTCATAATTTTAAGAAAAAAATATGAATAAATCTTGAATAAAAACTAAGTTATAAATAAATCCAGCAAATTTGCCAAAATGCCGTGAGTCTCCATGCTCCAAAGTGTTTTTTTATTTTTTAACATGTGTGAAAAGATAAAGTTGTCCTTTAACCAATCTAAAAGAATGACTTATTATTATGTTTGATCCAAGGAAATATGAATTTAGATCAGAAACCATTTTGATCCATCAAAATTTATAAATTTAAATT